AAACAATAGCACTTGAACACTAGAACCCTACTTTTGATCTGAAATGGGTAGAATTCTTGTATCCATTTCCTGAAACATTGGCTTCCATTCAATTTTTGGCATTCTTTTGCTCAAAATATTTTTTGATAAGTAATAGGATTTTATTAATTAAAATCACAAGTCAAAGGTTACATAGAACAAAATCTCCACAATGAGGTGATAAATGTGCTTGAAATTGTTTTCATATTTTTTTGTATTATTCTATTTTAAAATTTTTATTTTTAATTATACATCACGGGTTAACCTATTTGACCTGAAAGGTTGAACCACTAACCCACCCCCTAAATAGGAACATGGTTTAATTTCCCATCGGTTTTAAGTTGTATATTTGATGTCTATCATTAGTAAAATTATGTCTATTTTATCATAGTTATTTTTTAATAGAGATGCCACCTCTAAACTAGACCACAGAACTTACAGTTGATCCCAAAAGAATTGATTCCTATGTACCCTTTGTTTGGCTAAAAAGTCTGCCATCCCATTTTCTGACCTTCTTTCCCATTGAACTCTGACTGTTATATTAGTAGTTGAACATTTGAACCTTCTTATAGCCCCCCTATAGGACCAAGCTACAGTTTCTGGCTCTTTCAGCCATCCAATAACCAGTTTGGAGTTGCCTTCAATTATCAAATGTCCCACATTCAGATCCTTCACAATCTCTGTTCCTTTAAGTACTACTTGGACTTCTGCATTAACGGAGTCTCCCTCACCAATAGGACCAGAAAATAAGGCTACAATCTGGCCCTCAGCATTTCTAAAGACTCACCCAATTCTGGATGGCCCTGGGTTGCCTATACTACTGCCATCAAAATTTAATTTAATAACACCTTTTTTTATCAGTTAATTTAATAACACCTTCAGGAGGCCTCCATTTTTTTTTTTTGATCAGCAATTTAAAGAGATTTAATAGAACTTAAAAGGAGAATAGTACAACAAGAAGTTTTTAGAGATAACACCAAATACAACAGAGAGCCCCACTACCCAACTAACATTGAGCCCAAAACAAATAATGTCTATTCATGCCTTGTTTAGCTAAGCCATCTGCCAAACCATTTGCAGACCTCTCACCCATCTTAACTGGATTTGCATATGTCTTGACAGCAGCTTGAACCACCTGAGATCATTTCTGAATTGCCATAATACCCCTTCTCTTTTTTTCAGCCAACCACTGATTATTTTAGAATCTCCTACTATTAATCATGTAATCCCCATTTACTTTGCTTTTTGCACCCACCCCCCCAACAATAGTTGCCAAGAGCTCAACTCTCACTGAACCACCCTGCCCAATAGGCCCAAAAAACAAGTTACAAATGATCCCACTCCCATCCCTAATTACTCCTCCAATTCCGGAGGGACCCAGATTACCAAAACTACTTCCATCGAAGTTAAGTTTCATCCAGCCTTCGCTCAGGGGAGACGAAACCTCCAAGACCTTTTAATTCCTAGATGAAGAAAAAGCAATCGACCTCCAGTTTCGGAAAAAAGTCCTCCATTGAAAAATCAGAGAAAAGCTTCAAAGATCTCACCCAATGAGCAACTATAATAGTAATAGTCTCCAAGATCACTTCCTTGTTTCTTTCTTTATCCTCAAAAGTTCTTAAATTCCTTTCTTCCTACACAATCCACACGACCGTTGCTCCACCTACAACTAAAGAGAGAGCAGAACCAATCCCAAATATAACAAGCAAAAGGGCAAGAAATAAAGAGATGGACAACACTCTCACCATTCAACTTACCCAAAATGCACCAATTGGGGGACAAACACCAATTTGACCTTTTCTTTTGCAATAGATCACCCGTGTTGATGCTCTCATGATAAGCTTCCCAACAGAAAGCACCGACACCAGACTTCTTTAACAGGGAAAGGATGGGGAGTGGGAGAGGCCACTAGTGAAGAGAAAAATGATTTACAAGTGAAAGATCTAGAGGGACTGAGATTCCACATGCGTCTATCTTCCCCAGACAAATAAAAAAAACTAAGTTCTCCAAGATATTCAAGAGGTTAGACACAACAGGAATTTCAGATTCTCTTAGGTTTCTCACAAACCCCAAATTCCAACCCTCCATAGGGGAAGAAGACCCAAAGAAATTAGAAACAAGATTATCTTTAAGGCTTGATATAGCATACAATGAAGGGAACACTACTTTCAAGGGAAGATCCCCAACCCACACATCTTCCCAAAATCTGATCCTAAAACCAGAGGCCTAGTCATACCTGATGTGCTCAAGGAATTGAGGAAGAATACCATGCACTGCTTTCCACGGTGTAGCAACCCACACATCTTCCCAAAATCTGATCCTAAAACCAGAGGCCAAGTTATACCTGATGTGCTCAAGGAATTGAGGAAGAATACCATGCACTGCTTTCCACAGTGTAGCATTGTTAGCTCTTTGCAGAATACCAGTATCCCAACCGTTTCTTGAAAGCCCATGAATACTTGACACCACTTTATGCCACAACCTGTCATTCTCTAGGGGGAAATGCCACAACCACTTGCTTAAAAGTGCGGTGTTTTTCTTTGTGATGTTTCCCAGACCCAACCCACCCTCTTCCTTCCTTTTGATCATCTTCTCCCACATAACCAAATGATCTTTTCTTTTCTTTTCTTTTTTTTTTTTTTTCTATCTCTGAGCTCCCACAAGAAGTCTCTCAATCAATTTTTCTATTCTCTTTACAATTGCTTGAGGCATCCTATAGATAGACATAAAATAGACAGGGAGGTTAGCCAAAGTGGATTTGATCAAAGTCCCCCCCTAAAGAGATGTAATTCCTTTTCCAACCAGCAAGCCCCTCTCACAAAAGATCGAGATGTCATCTTCAAACTGGAGATGGGATACCACCACACTATTCCTTCCCACCTGCCGTCCTTTAAAGAGATGCAACTGGCTAGCCTTAGAAATCAATCTACTTAGAACCTATGCCACCAAAAGGAAAAGGAAGGGGGAAAGGGGGTCTCCCTGGTTTGTTTCTTGCGACAGAACTGTTGGCTACTTGCTCCCATTTTCTCCACATGTCATCAAAAGTGAAAGATGAAAAGAGTTCTAAAGACTTTACCCAGTTTATGGCCCTATTTAAAATGCTTTCCCAAATACTAGTCTCATCCCTTTCCTTGTCGTTGAAGATTCTAGCATTCCTTTCTTCCCAAACAGTCCACACCAAAGCAGCTTTAGCACACCTCCAGAGGACTCTACCCCTTCTCTTTGGCCACCTAAAGGTTGAAGGGTCAAGCAGACTGTTGATCTACACTGGCTCAGTCCACCTGCAACCAAAAAGACTACAGAGCTTCTCCCAAAGACCTACAACAACAGGACAGGATATTAGTAAGAGGTAGCAATTTTCTCCGTTTGCTTCGCAGAGGGTGCACCAGTCAGGGGAGATACAAAGACCAGGTCTTTTAACTTGCAAGACATCCAAGGAAGAGCTCTCACTTTTGGCAGAATAGGTTTGGACCAAACTTCCTTGCAATGGAATGGCTGGGTATTAACTGAGCACAAGGAAAGGATGCACAAGTAAAGGAGCCCGAAGAGCTAGGAATCCAAATGTGACCATCAGGTTTGGAAGGATCCAAACAAACCGGATCCAACTTCCAAGGTCTTAAAGAGCAAAGCAACCTGATCAAGCTCAAAGTCTCTCAAATCCCTACTAAAACCCAAATTCCAACTGAGACTGGTAGAGAGGGAAAAGGATACAAAACTCTTAATTTTCTTTTGCTCAAAATATTGTTATGTTTTGTTTTAATCTTTTCATTGTATTTTAATACTTCTTTGAATAATTTAAAATGAATATAAGTGGAAATGGTACCCATGGTGTACCAGGGTCATATTCTATGCAGATGTGCTACTATAATCTGTCTGTGTCATATATCATGGATGCTGGTACTGTGGTCATAGGCAGGTGTTCTGTATGATGGTATTATAGGTTTCTGCAGCAAAGAGATTAGCTTTTCTTGAATATTTTGAAGTTTAAACTTGTGAAATTGAGAGTTCAAAGAGAAGAAGATCTTCTTAAAGGGTTATTTCATCTGTTTATTTTAACTGTTAGTTTTCTGCATGTTCTGTCCAAATCAAAGGTCAATTCCCTAGACTGAGATAAGTTTCCCTATGGGAAATTTCTCTTTTATGGGGTTAAACATCAAATATTCATTAGTCTTCTGTTTTGACATATTCCAGGATTTATTATTTTCTCTATGTTCATTGGGAAGCAAAAAATTATCAGTCAGTGTTTATTGGGAACTCAATTTACCTATTAAAGCTAACTTTGGATAGCTTGCTAACCGACCTTATTTTGGCTTATGCCTCATCAGTTTATTTATTTTTGATAGATAATGGTAATTTTATTAATTAGAATAAAAACGCAGTATACATCATACAACTCCCCACAAAGAGGCGCGAGGTGCGGCCTCCAAACTACATCATAAAGCTTACACTTGAGCCCAAAAGAGCTGATTCCTATGTACTCCATGTTTGGCTAGGAAATCTGCCAGCCCATTTGCCGATCTTCTTTCCCATTGAACTGTGACTGAGATATTTGATGTTAGCCAGTTAAGGCTTCTCCGGTTCTCTGGTTCTTATTTAGTTTGAAGGGAATTTTAGTATGTATTCAAGTTAGACAATTCTGTGGCCCCTTGCACTCAAGGTTCAAAGTATCGATACACCTCTGTGTATCAGTGCTTTATACAATGCACTTTTTTATTTTTTTTTAGTTTTTTTTTTCAAAATATTTATCTTCAAAATTTCATTTTCAATAAATAAAATGAGTAGTTTCCTCAAAACACCTTTAAATAGGTGTATCATTCAACCACTGATACGATACGGCCCGAAACCGGGTGTATCGTATCCAAAATTTTGAACCTTGCTTGCACTTCATTGCGAATGACTTGCTATGTGTAAAACTTTTCATCTTGTAACTTGAAGCAACTCAAGCAAGCGTTCTATCAAAACTTTACTTTCTATGTTTGCAGTAATGGGTAAAGTCGAAGGACAAGGGGAATCTTGGCATGGACATGTTACTGCTGTAACAGTAGCTCCAGAATACCGGAGGCAGCAATTAGCGAAGAAACTCATGCATTTGCTGGAGGACATCAGTGATAAGATGTAAGAATGATACATTTACACTCCGAAAAAAATGATACATTTTAAAAAGAAAAGAAATGTTTTGCAGTCTCTTTGGTTCCTTCATTTAGGTGCTAATGGTTCTGATAAAAAGAATGACCCTATCATGAGTTTCACTGTTAAATTCTAAATGCTTGTTCACATGCATATATAATGCTAAATTAATGTTTTAAAAGTATACAAGGCTTCACCTTGGGTCAAGTTAAATCAGTGTTTTAGAAGCGTCCAAGGCTTACACCTCGAGGGCTGAGACTTGCCCCAAGGTGAGACTGAAGGGAAATGCCTTGGGACTCGTTCCTGAAATTATAAAGCACATTCCTCAAGCCATGAGATGCCTTTTGAGTTTTTTCCCCCCTTCTGTGTGTGTGTGTGTGTGGTTTATGCTTAATGCATCTAAAAGGGCTTGGCATGGTGCCTTGCCTCATGCTTCTGCATTTTGAGCATTATTGTAAATAAGTAATATCAAGATTTTTCATCTTTTTCTTGGATATCAGACTTTATAACTTTTTTTTTTGATCAGTAAGACTTTGTAACATATTTGTTTTAGTTGATTTTCTTTTATCTATAAATTTGTTTATTTATTTTTGGTCCTGTGTTATAGGCCTAGGTCTGCAACCTGTCCAACCTCAGTCTTGAATTTACCATTATTCTTTCTTTGTTTCTCCCTTGGAAATTAGTATATTTGTATTACTGATGAAGGTCAGAATCACCAGAGGTCAACTTAATGTAGTGTCTTTAGGGAAGACCAAGAACCACTTGTAGCTTATAGGCCTGATTTATTGGAGAAAAGAAGAGTTTATTTCGGTTGAAAAGTGGGTAAAGTAACTATATTGTGTAAAAAGAAGAAAATAAGATGAACTTGGGTAGCATCTTAAGAATTAAAAAAAAAAAGATAAAAATTAACATAAGCAAAGAATGAGCCCTAATTGGATAGCGTGTAAAATATTGGAAAAGCACACTCCAAGAATTAGAAACTAGGGTTAGCATTGATTAGCTGGATAGTCCATCTCTTTCAGCATCTGCAAGGTAAGTTTAATCCAACTAGCAAGCAATTAAAACAGATGTGAATGGTTGCATAAGAAATTTAAAAAATAACAGATAAGAATAAATATAAACCAAGAATGAACCTTAATTAAGAGTTAGAACCTGAAGTACTTCTTTTTAATAGCAAGAACAAAAAATTTTATTAATGAAAAAAAAGAAAAGCATTACAAGGTGACAAGAAATCACTCAAAAGCACCAGCCATGCAAACAACCAAAACCAAAAACACCTAAAAGGGGAAACCCTCAAGAAGGAAAAAAGCTAAACCCCTTCACTTGGGCACAATTTAAAAATCCCCCTCCCGTACCAAATATTTTCCCAAACAACCACTTCAGAACATGAAAGAAACTACCTTCTTGAAACAAGTAACCTTTAAACTTGCCTACAAATTTTCAGACTCCCCAGACTCATCTTCAATCTCGGACTTCTCCAACTCTTTTTAAGTCCTTTACTTTGTTAAAAAAATCCCACTGATTTTACTAACATGAACTTCCACATTGACAATCTTCTCCATTTCAAACCTTTTCTCAATCAACCTAACTTGATCTGCCACAACATCTGCCTCAACCTCTTGTTCCTCAACAACAACTAAACTAGATTCATTTTCTTCCCCTTAGGCCTTGTCAAACTTTCCCCAAATCCTTTTTACTTGTACTATTCCCTTGATCTGACACATCTTGATTTTTGCCTACTTTTTGATTTTTCAAGTTAAATTTTACTTAAATGTATAATCCAAGGAATCAAGTATAAAAGAAATAAAATATAGGAATATACACACCTCAAGAATTAGAAACTAGGGTTTGCATTGATAAGCTGTAAAAGTGTGAAGTAAATTTAGTCCAACTGGTAATTAGTTAAAGCACATGTGAATGGTTTCTAATGTCCAACTTCAATTTCACGTCATTCTATACCTTTTCATCATTGACGTTTTGATGTCAAAAAGAAATTTTGTATCAACTCATTGTTATTTCATGCATGTTTCATTTGTTAAAGTGGACTGTTGCGGTTGTTATCTCACTTGAGAAAATGTATTCTGGAGAAAGAGATAGCGGAAGAAATAAAAAAGGAATACACAAGGCTGTGTGTTATCATTATAATTTTTTGTTTGGTTTATTCCTTTGAAAACATGCAACTATGATTGACTTGCATGGCTTTCATATTATTGATCTTGGGTCCCTTTTCTTTTGGGGTTATTTGATCCTCATCTTGAACAATTAGAAATGATATATTTTCCCCTTTTTTTCTCTGGTAGAGATAAGGCTTATTTTGTGGACCTCTTTGTGCGGGCATCAAACACACCGGCCATAAAGATGTATGAAAAGGTATGCTTCTTTAATCTTGGGTATATTTACTTTATGTCCTACAAATCTATTGCTAGCTTATAAATTATCAGCATGCAGTTAACTGTTAATTAGGTTGCTAATTTATTGATAAAAAATTGAATTCTTAATTGATATATAATGGATTTTGATCATGTTCTTACTCTTCTATTCTTTTGTGTTTGTTTTTTGACATAAACTTTGACCAAGAATCAGTAGCAATTTTAACCACCTTATTTTTGACTAATAAGTGCACATGTTTATTTGTCTTTGCTTGACCCACCACAGCATTTGCTACCAGGGAGAGAACTACTTGGGCTTTTGGCAATTTTTAAAATTTGCAAGTTATTGCATATTAGAGAAGTGATTCAATGATGGGACTGTCCAACCTAATGAGCATGAGTACAACATTTTTTTTTTATTATGCAGCAGAAAAACTATTAACACAAATATGGTTCATCATCCACACTGGAGATTCATCATACCATACCTCTTGGTATAAAGAAGTTTTCATAAGTTGAGCTATAATATTAGCTGGCTCAACAACATCCCCCCAAACAAAACAAAAAGAAATAGATGCAAAAGATTTACATAACATTTTAGTATTGTCAAAAATATGAAAAGATTGCCAAGGGATGTTCTCTAATTGCTCCTCTATAGAGAAGCAAACTAACCCCACAGTTCCAATATTATTGGAAGAAAAACCACCTTCGCATAAAATTTTAATCGATTTAGAAGCCAATTGTTGGTTAGATACTAGTCCTAGACATGGATTAAAATTAATTCTTTCCCTAGTTTTCTCACTGAGAGGAGAGATGAAGTTTTGGAGAGTCCTGTTGGTATTCTGTATGACCCAATGAACAGTAATTATGCGAATTTGAAACACCATGGAACTATGGGCATGATCCAACGTAGGATATCTTTCAGCAGGCAATTGTCAGGCACGTTAATCACTAAGCCACTGATTGGGTTCAATCACGTCCTGTCATCCATTGGTTCAAACTTGAGGCTTCAAGGGGAACCTTTCCCTCTCCATTTGACAGAAACTGCACCATGATTTCATCATGATCATTCCTCTACAACTTTTGTTTTTTACTAGAATAAATCTCTTGATTACAGTCCACAAATAAGTTAAATCTGGGAAGATCTGTATATTGTCATATACACTGTGAACATGATCTTGCTCATGCTATCCATCTTTCTCTTACTTTCTCAGCTTGGATATGTAATTTATAGACGGGTATTGCGATATTATTCTGGTGAGGAAGATGGTCTAGGTAAGTCTCCAGATTCTTCACATAACATAACATTTGTGATTGCCCACTTTATCTCGTCTCTCACACCCCATTCTGTAAACCAATTTCAGATATGCGGAAAGCTTTATCTCGGGACACTGAAAAGAAGTCCATCATCCCCCTTAAAAGACCAGTTACTCCGGACGAACTGGAGTATGACTAAATGTGCTTTCTCAGCTGTCTACTAAGTTTATGGGAACATCCCTGAATGGTTTTGCTGCTTTTGGGAGTTCGTAGAGAGGGCATAGCCGCTTAGCGCAGTGGATTGTATTCTATTAATGGAGGTGATAAAATTGACATGTCTACCATGTTTGATATTATTTCCCATTATATAAAATTGACATGCCTACCAGTCTGTGTTAATTGATATTTTATCAGATTTATTGTGAACTTTGCACGGGCCATTGGATATCTGCATGGCGTATCCCATCGGCCATCGATACTCTTGAACTCTAAAGTAAAAGAAAAAGTAGGCTGGGTAGTACGTATTAAGTCTGTCATTGCCCATTGCCTGGTGTAGTAACTACTAAGTAGTGACATAGGCATAATAAAACGCTCTGCGCACACAAATTCATAAATCCTCAAATTGTAAGCAAAGAAGCACTCTCTCTAGGACTGAAGCCTTGTGCCCATTTGGGAGGGTTTTTGGGATGCAGCTTCTTCTGTGTTGTCATTCATGGGAAGATGCTAGTAATGCATGGCGTGTGTAAGGTTGGTGTGAGTGCTCTGTGATGAACAAATCCAGATTCCTTTCTTTCTCTCTCTCTCCACATGCTCATGAGTCACATCGGTGGGTCATACCCATACTCTACTCCATCAATGTTAGGTTGGCTAAACTCACGTTGGTTGGTGTTGGTATAAACTTTTTTCAATTGCCTGACTACCTCAATGTCTCAACCAGTTTTTACCCACAATTCTACCATGAATATCATCAAGCAACTTGTGGTCATAGTGCCTCAGGGGTTCATGTCAAGGTCTGGGTCGGAAATTTGGAATTGATGAGCAAACTTCCAAACTTTCGACTGTGCTGAGCTTGAGTTTGTTTATTTATTTTTTTGTTTTACCCCGAACTTCAGGTAGAGGGGTGCCACATTAACAATTTATTAGCCATTATAAAAAAGAAAGAAAGAAATAAAGCACAGCTCAAATCTGCCCCATACCCATAAGATACAAAACACTTTCTTACCAACTCAAATCTGCCCAAATGAAAAGCTAAAAAAGAAAAAAGAAAGAACAGCAAAAGGCTTAGTTACTCTACAAACAAGCACACAGGATTATTAAACCAAAACCAAAAGAAGGCAACCATAGAAAAGAGCATTGATCATTTGGTTCTTAACTCTTAAGAGAGGAATATATAGATAGTCTTCATACAGACAATGGAGAGAGAGTATTTACGGTCAGGGTTGGGTTGAAAAATATTGCCCAGTAGAAAGCATTCAGATCTCGTGCAGGAACTTGAGGATGCTGGGCCAATCATGAGAGTAAAGATCTGTTCCTCAAAGAGTGCGCTTCACACTGACCTTACAGCACATTTAGCCATGCATCTGGAACATCTCCTTACTTGAAAATATTTATTCATAGGAAGATGTTTTCAATGCACTGTTGAAACATGCTGTGAAATCAGTAAGCAGATCTGAATTCCAATCATGATTGATTCCCCAGCATTCATAATGTGTTGGACGTGGACCCATGTGTTGCATTATGGTGGGTCCAGTATTACATTGACATCCCACCATGTATGGGGAACATCCTTTGTATTATTATTCATGGGAGATATTCCAATGCATGCAGGGTGAGATATTCCAATTCATGGGAGGTAGGCTCTGTATGGAGCAAATCCCAATTTGTAGAAATCAACCCGAATCCAGACTGTTGAAATTAGTCCCCCTGTTCCAGCCCCAAGGGAAGAGGATGAAGGGAGGGTTATAGAGTAGGTAGTTAAGAACTGAACCCTAACTACCTATCACAGCCCCGTTTATGTTGCTTTCAGGAGGTTTTTAATTGAAGGTGATTCACGTCACGATTACCAGTCATCAGTGCCCTAGAATCTAATCCGTCCAAATCATAGGTGAAATATTCACCAATATTTACTTGCTGTGGACCCGACCCACCCGAAATGACTACAGAGTACAACTAACATCACCCGCAAGAAAACTAATTGCTTGCTCATGGGGTGTTTGCCGACATAAACTTAAGAAAAATCTCTTCTTTCTCCGACGTATGATTTTGATGGGGCCATTAGGGATATATTTAAGCTGAGCCCCACAGTTGAATATCTGATTCTTTGAATTTGATTGGTAAAAAAAAAAAAAAAATTAAGATCCACTTCTTTCCATATCCAAATTCACTTCACAAATTCATTATTGAAGGTTTTGATACCTGTAACTGTAAGATCCCACTTCTTTCCATCATTCACTTTCTTTTGGTGATCTATCTCTTTCCATATCCAATCAAATTTTTGGTTTGCTGGGTGGTCTGGTTTTCAGGGCATCTCCACCCAGAATTGAAGGAAAAAGAAGAAACTATGGAAATACCAACAGCTCCAACTTCTGATACTTAGCTTTCAGAATCATTTAAAAATTGATGGTTGCATTGAATAAATTCTGACTGGATGAAATGGGATCAACGTGTTCTGTTGCTTTCCTCTTCAGATTCATTGTTGTAGAATAAAGGGAATCTTTCTCTGGCTGCCACCACAATGAAAGAATTCTGCACAATTGGGCGACGACTAACGTCAACGTGGCCCATCCACAGCGTCACGTATCCGACTGGATTAAGATACATAGATTAGACTGATGAGATCAATCTCAACTCCGAACTTTAGTTAGCACGTCCGATTGGTTTCCGTTCAGAGTCGAAATTAAGCTTAAGGGATAAGTTGACTGCACTCAATCTGCAGACCTAAATAATTCAAAATTATAAATACGTACCCTCACCTATAACACCTATACTGAATTGGTTTCAATTATAAGCTGGCACTAAGGGTATCCATGAAAAACCGAAAAATAGAGTCGAACCGAGAAAACTAAATCGCAAAATGCGGTTAACTGAACTGAAGGACTAGTTTGGTTTTCAGTTAACCTATAAAAAAATTGATAGTTAATTGAACCAACCGGTATATATATTTATATGTATATTTAATATATCACTTATTTTCTATGTATTTTTATAAATATATATTCATTATATATAAATATATACTTATATTATATTTATAATGATCTATTTACAAATATATTATATATTTTTAAAATATATATAATATATTATATATCATTTATTATTTATAATATAATATTATACATATATTTATATAATATATATTATAAATATAAAAAATCAAAAAACCAAAGAACCAAATCGGTCAAAAACCGAAACCGGCAGACCGATTAATCGGTGGTACCGGTTCAATTTCGGTTTAGCGAAATGAAAAAACCGATACCACCAGTTTGATTTATAAAAAGGGGCCATGGTTCAGTTAACCAAACCGTGAACACCCCTTACTGGCACCTACCCAATTGTACATATAAAAACCCCTACGCTTAATTAGCGTCGGTGACAATGATGGATGGTGAACATATCATTCATTATAGAATTAGCTGATGTTGATGTGTCTTTTCGTGCGTTTTTTAGTTTTCGGGAATCTCAGACACCAAAAAATGGTCATTTTTTTTTCATTTGGTATTGCATAAACTAAAAGACTCAAAAGAGTGTATAGAAATATAAAAAAAAGTAAAAAATCGGGAAGTTAAATTTCAAATAAAGCTTTTAGTCTTTCTGTGCTGAAAATAGCTTTTCTAACTGTTTTTAACAACCCGGTACACCACAATGTAAACCAAACAGTCTTGATTTTTAAAGGCAAGACTCGAAAAGTTCAATACATTTTTAAAGGAAAGACTTGCTAGGCAATACCTTACAAATTTTTTTGAGAAGATCTTTTGATAGTTCTGACAGGCAAAAAACGTATTGAACTTTTGCATTAACATCTGAGAGGCCTAAAGCTCGTTTAATTAAGATATGTTTTTCTATGTATCTTTCCACGTGAAAATGAATGAAAAAAAAAACGCAAAAATTCCATTTAAAGCTTTCTGAAAATTGCTCGTTTTGAGCTTCTCGAGTCTTTTCAGCACGTTGGCTAGATTTACTGCGAATCAAATGGAAAACTATCAAATCACAGTCTGACGAACTTGTAAATAACCAATAGATCGCACCACCAAACGGGGTTACACTTCCAACTGCTGTGAATGAGGAGAAAACAATTGGTTATTATGATAGCATTGTTACAAATGGTTATCACCGGTTACCAAAATCCAGGGTTGAAGGCTATTTGCTTGGTTTTTGATGGTGCGCAATTCGGCTGGTCCTAGTTGTCAATGACCTTGCCTCCGAACGGAGCTACAGGGAGCCTGAAACAGAGAAGATGAGAGAGCTCCGGGGGGAACCCGATATGAATGCTCCGAAGCTCAAGTTAGAATTCTCTCAAAGGCAAGATAAAACCAGATGGCRCAARGTTCACATACCTTGTTCTTGGGGGGTAGGGAGCCTTTTATAACCACATCGTGCAYTCACTTCTAAGCTTCTGTCAGGTC